GTTGGGGGTTGTTTTTTTTGTGGGTTTTTTATTTTTTGTTCTGTTTTGTGTTGTTTTGTAATTATGTGCTATTTACACCGATCACATTATATAACGAATTCCTATAGTCCGTGATCCTGCAAAGGATAAGACGCTGAAAAATAAACGAAACAAATCCCTTTCTCCGCTTCGAGCTACCCGGCTGCTGAACGACGTGTCCGTGATATATATATACATGTCGAGATTCGAACCGCCATTTCGTCACATCTAATATTTTACTTTACTTTTTCATCCTCTGTTGCCATTAAGCGTCGAAGGGAGATGCAGTTTAATATGGTAGGCCAGCTCCACAGCTCTTTCAGTTGTTATGTTTTCTTAGGGTTTCCTTGACATCCTCGATCCAGCTTTTACGTGGCCTTCCTCTTCCTTTATAGCCTGAGTGCTTGGTGTTGTGGGCTCTCGAGGCTGGCTGGTCAGGTGACATGCGTAACAGGTGGCCAAACCATTTTATCCTCTGCCTTTCTATGTAACGCAGGCAGGACTCAGTTCCGATAGCTGTTCGATCTTACTTCTTCATTTCTGTGCCTGTCTCGTCTTGTAATGTTAAGGGTCACATCTAAAATATTTGTTAAAATTCTGTGGCAAAGGAATTGTGTCACCGGTACTACAGTGGTATAGAAAAGTGGATCAGAAAGACGGACAGAGAGAAAGAGAAACAAAGAAAAGTGGATCAAAAAGACGAAGAGAGAGAAAGAGAAATTCTTTAATAAATAAAACAATAAAGATGAAAAAGTTTTAATACAGCCTGTAGTCTCTTCAATACTAGTTAAATATTGTTCCATAAGTAGAAGAGGGATTATATGCAGCTCTAGGCGCTTTACTATTTCACATTTTCTTCCTATGTTTCAACTTTCCTATTTTCTAAAAGCCTTCCTGTTCCATTCTATACATATAATCTTTGTCTGGAATGTTAATCCGATGCTCTGGGGACAATGCTTTCTTTCAAAGTGCTACGTACTAAACCGTACAACAGAAGGGTTGTTTTTTGTTTTTTGTTTTGTTTTGTTTTTGCTTTTGCTTTGGGTTGTTTTTTTTCATACAGTGTTTTCTGTTTGAATGAGAGGGCTTTCTTTTCAGTTCATAAAAGCCAGATCAGTTTTGGATGTCATTGACAGGTTTCAAGTCCAGGGTTTTTCCAACGATGATTCCTCAAATGTTTCCAATTCTGTTATTTACGACATCACCGAGATATATAAGAGGATAATGCTAGACTAGATTTGGTTTGCAATTCATGAGTGCAGAGAACTTGTATTGGATTACCGCTAAAAAAATAATAACTATAAAAAAATGAATTCAATAATTTTGGTTTCTATTCTTCGAATAACCTTTTCGGAAAAGTTCAAATATATATGTGAGGGGCGGGAGGGGGGGGTATTGGGTTGGGTTTTTTTTTTATTATTAATGTATTGTTTTTGGTTTTGGGAGGATTTTATTATTTTATTTTTTTGTCTTTTGATTTTGAGTTTCAAAGCAAAATTATAATTAAATATTGCCGCCTGCCGTGAGCGGAGAAGGTGGATTTTAACTCTTAGTATACGGCGAGCCAGCTCAACTGACGTGCGACATTGCTGTGTTTTTACCACCATAACAAAAATCTACAAACCGCATATAGTAAATTACTTCTTCGTCTTCTTCATGTGTCAGGTCTGGAGCAGACACTGACGAGCATGAAACCCCATTCCTTCATATTTTCTGTCTTCTTGATTAGCTCGGTTTTTCTCTTGTGTTATAATTTGTTGCAGAGTTGTTCAAGCCCTCTGTGAATGTTGTTCTTAGTCTGTCCTGCTCTTCTTTCCCTCTATCTTTCCACACAGAAGCAGTTGCTCTAGTCCATTTGATCTATTTACGTGGCCAAAGAATCTCATTTGTCTTTTTTTATTCTTTTTTCTGATGGCTCTGATTATGGATCTTTCAGATCTTTTTTCTTTTTTCTGATGGCTCTGATTATGGATCTTTCAGATCCTGCCATTTGGAGTACCTTTCTGCTTGTTTGATCTTTTTGTTGGGGGTTTTTTAAAAGTTTTTTTTTTGTTTATTTGTTTATTTGTTTGTTTGCTGTTATTGTTTGGGTTTTTAAACTACATTTTTTTTTAATTTCCGCAGGCCAATTGTGTATCGTGATGGAATACGCTGAGCTGGGTGACCTCTTGAGCTACCTGAAGCACCAATGTACCTTCCCGCTGCAGTACGTGCGTGTGGGAAGTGACGGGCTGGTGGTGGAACAGAGCGCGCCCCGGGTGGAAGACAACGCCTCGCTTATGGTCTTCGCCTGGCAGATCGCTAAAGGCATGGGCCACCTTGAGATGCACAGAGTGAGTTCGTACATGGTGTATATTGAGATGTACAGAGTGAGCACATGATGTGCCTTGAGATGCACAGAGTGCGTATATATATCTGGTATGTTAGGGTGATTAAATGGAGTGCCTTGAGATACACAAAGTGGGTACATGATGCGTAAATGGGTGCCTTGGCATGCACAGAATTAGTACGTAGGACACATTGAGATGCTTACATTTAGTACATTGAGATGCACAGAGTGAGTGCATGGGGAACATTGAGATGCACAAGGTGAATACATGGTGTTCCTTGAGATGCACAGAGTGGGTACATGGTGTGCCTTGAGATGCACAGGGTGAGTACATGGGGCACTTTGAGATGCACAGAATTAGTACATAAGGCACATTGAGATGCGTACATGGGATGCCTTGAGATGCGCAAAGTGAGTACATGAAGGGCCTTGAGATGCACAGGGTGAGTATATCCGGTGCCTTGAGAGGGATACAACACTCCAGCAGAAAGACAGAGGTACTCGTTTTTCTTTATTCTTTCCACTCGAGAATCGAACTCGGGTCTCCTGCGTGCGACTGTGAAGCGTCTAATTGCTCTACCACAGGTGTCGGTACACCATTGCAAAACAATTCTTAAATGTTTTTTTATGATATCGCTTAAGTAGCATCTACTCATTACATTCAAAGAATATTGTTGCAAAGAGTGTTGTTGCACCTTTGAATCCAAATTAAAATGTATCCCTGATCCTTTCGTTTTGTCTCTCAGTTCATCCACAGAGATCTTGCTGCTCGCAACTGCTTACTTACCATGGGTCCTATTGCCAAAGTATCAGACTTTGGCCTATCCAAAGACGCCTATGAGCTTGGCCATTACAAGAGAGTTCAGAAGGTAATAAGACCTGCTCAATGTGTCTGGGTTGTCATGTTTGGAGGCCGAGAGGTAGAACCGTTGGCTCTTTTTTCTCGTCTTTTTAAAAACCATTCATTGCTTGTAACTGGAGGTCCCCACTGGCAGGGCCAACTTCTTTTCTTCCCCTCTGTTGTTTCTATCTGTCTTACTTTTATCCAGCGTTAAATGACGATTAATATGTCGATGTGCTTGTCGTTATTCGCACAACCAACCAACCAACCAACCAAACAAACAAACAAACAAATCTGCTGTTGTTTGTGGGGTTTGTTTGTTGTTGTTGTTCTTGTTGTTGTTGTTGCTGTTTGGGGGGAGGAATTTGCTTTTTTTTAAATTTGCTTTTTCCAAGTTCTTAAAGCCTGACTTTGCCTGTGTCTGGTCCTTTAATCGTGATTTGACTAGAATTACTATAGATGTAGGCTGCTGGTTGCATATTTTAACTACCTGGGAAATCCTGCGAACCATGTTTTTCATGTGTTCTCATAAGTGTCTCTCTCTCTCTCTCTCTCTCTCTCTCTCTCTCTCTCTCTCTCTCTCTCTCTCTCTCTCTCTCTCT